GTAATATTACATATACATAATAACATAGTATCCTACAAACTATATATACAAAATATATAATACATATACTATACATATATAACAACCTATTATACCATAAACTTATACAATATAGTATCAATATAGATATATTACAACTTATTTCTATATATTATATATAATATATATTATATATATATATATGTATAGATATTATAATAATCTATATATTACTGACTATCTCCATTTATATAATATACTATATATATATTTATATATATATGTATATATATAATATATTTATATATAGATATATAAATTTATATATAAAATATATCTATGATAATATTGCTATATCTAGTTATCTAGTATCATTATTAATTCTATATCATTATCTATTCATATCTTATTTCTATCTACCTAATCATAGCTATCTAGTCTATCTATCTATCCTATGTCTATCATTTACATTACTACTTCTATCTATTTTATCTGAGTCTTATCTATTACTCATATCTATCTTATTCTTATCTATATTATCATATCTTATAGGTACTTAAATCATAATATATACTATATATAATATATGAACTAATAATATATCTACTACCTTATTATATAATCCAGTCGTGCAACGTATTATACATTAAAAATGATTATTATGTCAATACGCATATATTATATATTAATATCTACTTATATTTATATTCTATATTAATAATTATAATGGACAACTATATATAATACTTATATTCTATATATTAGTTATACTAATATATATATAATATATAATAATATAGTCAATATCCTATAATAATACCGTATATATATTAATATATATAATTGTATATATATATATTTAATATAATATTACCAGTATAATATTCATTATATACATTAAATATATACAATTTAGCACTTAATAACCATATCATATATACTAATATCATTTATATCATATATACTACTCATTATATATATATAATATAGTAATATTATTATATTACTTATATATATCTACTAAATTCCAATATATAATATTATATATATCTGATTAATATGTATATATGGTATATATGTAATAAATGTATATATATGTATATAATATGTATTATAATATATATATATATAAAATAATATTATAAATACTATTATAATATACTAGGAATAACTACATACATTCAATATATAATATACTATTAAATAACTATATATTATATTAATATATATTATATAATATATACAATCATATATGTATATATATGTAAATGTATATAATGATATATGTATATATATGTATATTTATTATGTAATATATGATGTATATATATTATGTTATATTTATTAAAGTATATTATATATGTATATTATATATGGTATATATTGAATATTATTATATTGATAATTATATATGATATACTATCCATATGATACTTTATAATCATGTATATCTACCATATACAGAAACAATATATAAATATAACCATATGCTTAATAAATAGTGCTAACATTTATAATGATATGCATATGTAAATTATATACGTAATACTAAACTGTAGTTATATATGTATAATCATATGTATAATCACATACATATGTATAAAATTAACTACTATGTATTCATAATATATTGACAACATTATAATATATATGTTAATATATGTATTATTATATGCATATATATACCATAACAATATACCAACTAATAATCATACCACCATATCTATACGAATCATATCATAAATTATATCATACATATATGTCACACTATATGTACATATATCATATACCAATCATAACTAGACTATTATACATATACATATACATAGTATACATAATAACACTAGACATACTTATACATTATTTATATACATATATAAGTATAATACATATATATACATATTATATATACAATATACATAATATATAAACATACTACTACATATTATATATATATACACTATATATATAATATATATATAAATAGTATATAACTTAAATATTCATTATATAATATAATTATATAATATATATAATGATAGTTATATATTCATATACTTAGTATATAGCCTAGTATATATATGCATCCCGATATTTATAATGTTTAAACTTCTAAATCTATATATAGATATAGTATTTATTGTATATATAGTGTACATATATATTATATATGAATAACATAATATATTTAGCAAAAATATAAATGTACATAATAATATATATATATAATAGAAAAATAAATTAATTAAATAAAATATAATAATAACATATATATAATATATTTAATATAATATACTAATATTATATGACCATATAATAGTAATAATATAATATAGTTTTATATGTACATATCTTCAATATAACATATAATTATAAATATATATATTAACTATATACTATAGAATATATATAATCATATTGATATATTATATACCATACCCCTACTCATATATATATGATATTATAGTATAGATATATAATATTAATATTATTATACTCTCAATAATGATATCTTATATACTATCATATATGTAAATTATATCATATTACTACATATTTATAGGGTCTATCCATATAGTTATCTATATATATAATATAATATATTTAATGAATCTTATATTCCTCTATATATATATCATATCATTACGTTCTATTATTCGTCAATTATTTTAGATATGTACTTTTGATAGAAGCTTAAAGATCTCTTTAGCCTGTTTACAACTTCGCGATAAAGCTGACACTTATACGAGTTACAGCATCCTCTCAAGAAAACCTATATCCTATATTAGAAAGAGTTATATTTATAACAAGAGTCGATATTCAGTTAAGTAACGCATTGCAACATAGTATAGAGCATACTTCATCTATAAGATGTGAGAAAGCCTTCCGCCAATTCTTAGATATTGCGAGCTCACCATTTTAGCACTTTATCAAAGGCTGATCTCCTTCTTTTCATATTATATCATAACAGTATTGAAATCAGTGTCCTTATGTGTAACTATGTTCCGTATCCTTATAACTTACAGATATTATGTTGCTAGGTAGCTAGTGAATGCAGTCTGAGGAAACTGGGAACTCAGCAGAATGTGCGAAACTCTCCCCCATCTTTTGAAGACAGAGCATCACTGGCCCTACCCAGAGGCAAAATAAGGCTGCAATGAGAAACTATGGGTGTGGATCCAGTGTACTCAGGTTCAGATCCCGCTTCTGACTGATGGAGATTAAATATTTATAATTCTCTAGTTTCTTTCCAATTACAATAGATTTGCGCAACGATATCCTAGATGGATATGTATTTGATGAGATGATGGGATTGTGAGTTATAGGTGAACTAGTTTGAGTGTAGTTAAATCTTTTGATACTGAGTCTTGACAGATTTCACTATTTAAATATAGGATAGCTTGCCAAAGTCCATTGAATTATAGGCATACCACCTATAGAATATTTCTTGAAGATTCATATTTTAATAAGATAGTGCCAAAGTCATTGAATTATGGATAACCACAAAATGTAGTTTTAATCTCATGCTTATTTTCTTTCTGTGACATAAAAAAAGGATAATATAATCTAGAGATATGTAATTTTATCTTGTGATATAGGAATTGGGTCAAGTTTATGTAGTTCATTACCAATAGAGATTACAATCTTCTTTATAGATAAGAATGTATCCACAGTTACACATGTTATTTATGCACATCCACACAAATCCATGCATCCCCTATATTAGCATAGATACATGCAAACAGACGTATGCATTTGTGTACGCTTGAACATGTATGCAAGCATGGGTAAACATATATGCAATTGAAGATAAAGCTGGATCACATGTTTAACCTACTGGATTGGTGTGACATGACTTGCATGACATGAAAAAATTTAGTTGAAGGGAAGGTAACTCAAGGTTACTTATTATTGTTATTGTAGAGAGTAGTACAAATACAGACCTGGCAAAGGATATTATAACTTCGCAGGGGAGGTATTAGGTTTACTTGTCAGTAAGCCTAATGCCTGGATTTTGGTCCATGTCTGGCCTTGAGGCATCCCGATCCAACGGGTTAATCTGAGGTCTAGATGTGTCACTTTATGACCTTGACCAACTTCCATTTCAAAACAAAAAGTGTACTACATAACAAAACAGAATGAAATTGGATAGATAAATTATCAGTGTATGTCAAATTTACTCTCTCTACCACTTCTTTGTTCAGCTTTAAACCCAAGTAACATTTGATAAATCAGTGATTTCTAATCACAGATTTGAGACGTATGTTAGGCTTTGGTGGCACACCTATTTAATTGGGTAGTCTATAGGCATTCTATGGTATGTGTATGATATACACTAGGATTTATGATGCATTCTTGTAATAATAAGAATACACCACATGCACAAACAGACATATAAACAAACATACATACATACATACAAACATACATACATACACACAAACATACATACATACACACATATACACACATACATACATGCACATCATGCACACATACATACACACACATATACATACACACACACATATATATATACAAACATACATACACACATACATACACATATACATACATACATACACACATACATACATGCACACATACATACATGCACACATACATACACACACATATACATACACACACACATATATACACACAAACTTACATACAAATAAACATACATACATACACACAAACACACACACGCATGCATGCACTCGCACATACACACACACAAACACCAACACACAGATATCTTTGTTTAACATACATATTTCTAGGAAAAATTTCACAGTGCAAAGTTTGTAAATTTCTGTACAAAATCAAGATACACTAATGATAGCAGAAAAAAATGGAGATTATCAAAGGATGAATAGATACTATGATGATAGGAAATACATGTATATGATTATAAATGCATATATTTTCTATAGCCATAAGTATTCACAAGCCAAGTATGCTAAATGTCAATCAAATTCTTAATGAATTATGAATGAATTTCTTGTAAAATCAACAGGTAAAGTATAGATACTGTGTGTGCATCATCTTGGAAGCACGACCTGGTATTCATGAACGCGCTGTTGTTGTGCGATCATGGGAGACTAACATGCTGCCTCGAAGGATTCCTGAAGGAGGTACTTATTAGTTTAATTCAAACAAGCATAGTACATTTATGTGGAGGGACAGATGCATCCACATGTAGTATACCTCTATATGTTATATATGTATATGTAAATGCTCACATGAATGTGATGTATATATGACAGGCATATACTGGATATTTACCAAGCTATTTACATGATGCTGACAATTTAAAAATAAAACTTTTTTTTTTTCTCTTCCTGCCATTCCCTCTCACCCCCTTTTCCCCTAAGAATCCAATGTTTCCGATCCCTCTATTGAGAAATATGGGTCGTATGGGGGCTCTGAACGTGTCGAGAGTGGCTGGCTCACAAGAGATTCAGTTGTCCAGTTCCGCCTCTGCACCTCACCCCTGTACAACGACCCTGTGATGCTGTTCAAAAGGAAGTACCAGGATAAGAAGGTGAGTTTAATTTTTTTTTTTCTCTCTCTCTCTCTCTTTATTTTTTTCTTTCTTTATTTTTTTATCTTTTTTTTTTTTGCTACTACTAAACTGAAAAGCAGGGTTATGTGATTGTTTATTCTATGATTTTTATTTTCTTTTTTCTAAACTCGATCTGTGAGGAATGATTCAGAAGTATATATTTGCCATTGCAACAAGTTATTTTACTGTGTTTTGAAACATCCAAATTAGAGCCATCATAAAATGCTGACATCATAGTCATAGGTCATGTACATATTCTGCAATATGTATGCTGAAATCACTTTTAAAAAGATATGATTTTAGATGCAAGTAACAGGGAATGTATTAATCTCTCACCAAAACATTGATCATAATTGCAGACACACCCTGAGATCTGAAGCACTGGGAAGGGAGTTTAGAGAGATAAGGGATTTTGAACACGTTCTTTGTAATGAGGTTTATAGTAGGGGATCATATCCTTATTAAAGCCTCTGCAAACTTTCGATACATCTGTATGTAAAAGACTGGTAATATTATTGTTAGAGTTGAAGAATCTATTAGCAAGTGTTTTGGACTGTTTACATTTGGCTGTTAGATTCTTATAAAGGCAGACCAAGTCACTCCTGAGTTTGAATGTGAGTGGCAGAGAGACCAGTAAAATGACTAGGGGAATATACAGTTTACTACATATTAGTCAAAATCAGTAATATATATAAGACAGCTTATGCTGCCTTTGAGAACAAGGTATTGCCATAGAGTTTAGCCTTTTTTCTGCATATCATTGCCACATAGCTACATTATAAAGGAGATTCCAATAAAATTTTCTTATTCCCTACATGGCATGTAGATTCTTGTTGCACAAGTAATCACAGTTTTGGTGAAGAAAGGGGATAAATAATGCTATTATAACATAGCACATCACACACAGAACATCACAAATACATAACTATTTGCGAATACCTTAATAACACACAGGTACGCATCAAGGTGACACCCAAAGAGCTCCACAACAACAGTCCAGGGGATCCTCACAATGGGGTTCCTGGATCGGAAGAGAGCTCTGACTTCGACATTTCCAACCTCCAGATCGACAGTAAGCCTATCTGGCCCATCACGGAGGTGGCTGTAAGTGTGCCATGAGATTTTTGTTTTCTTTTTTTCTTTTTTTTATTCTTTTTTACTATTTTTTATATTTAATATATATACCTTTTTTGAAATGGTATTATGATGAGGAATTAATTGTGCTTTCATATTCCTAGATATTCACATATATACAAATTGTTTTGTACTCCTCTCTCAACAGAGCACGACACCACACAGTCTACACAACACAACATCACACATCACACACTACAAACACACACACACACATCATCACTACACAAAACACATCAACATATTGTGCAATCCGGTTCACCACTACACAACACACGACCTAATAAAACCAACTATTTTTGGTGTTCATCACACACACACAAACCTCATTTTCAAACCACGACTCACAACACCACCACACACCTTATCGTACTTTCACACGTACCCTTTCCACGCATTCTACACTCCTCTTGACAAAACACCCTCAGACATGCAACACGACTACAATTACCAAGAGCACACAGTTACACAGATCCACATTTATTTGTTACACACTTCACAACATATCACAGGCAGGCCATCCGCCTCTGTTATACCACCCACACCTACTTTCATTTACATCACACACACACCAGTATTCTAATCGCCAGACCGACTACATCTCTTGCAACACAACACACCCACACCATGATAGTTCTTCGTGTCGTCACTCGCTGAATATCTCCACTTTCAGCAACAACACAACCACAGCCGCCTTCTGATCAACAACATCACTACACACACAACTCCACTATCTTTCACATCACAACAACACAGTACTTTCAATCACCACACAACACACCCTTACTACACAACCACACCACACACACTTTCACCACACTACACCACAACACACTACTACATTCCACACCACACACCACCAACATATTATCAACATCTCCTAGTCTCCACACACATCCACACATCTCCAACACACCACACACAACACACAACCATCCACACACACTAAAGGGTACCACTCGAAAACACACCCCACATATCTATCTTCAATTCTCCACACACACATCACACACACACAACACACCACACAATCCAGACACACACCTCTCCACACTTCCACACACACACCACCGAATTACACACACACACACAGCACACACACTCCTTCTCTTTCAACACACACACACTCTCAAACACACACCATCTCTCAACACACACACACTCTCTTCTCACAACAGCACACACTCTCTCTCACACACACACACAATCCATCTCTATTAACACACACTCTCACACACAAACACACGACACATCTCCACACACACACATCCTCCACACAACGACACACACTCTCAACACAACCACACACCCCTCACACACACACACACTCTCACACACACACTACACTCTCAGCACACACCACACACACTCTCACACACACACTACTGTCACACACCACTCACTCACACTCACACACACACCACGACATGACACATCCATCAAGCCCACCCAGACACCCACCACACATCCACACATCTTCATCTCATACACGAACTCACAACAACACGCACACCCACACAGACACTCTCTTCTCTTTTTTTCTACTCCTCTGCCACTCTCTCTCTCTCCTCTCTCCTCCTCTCATCCATCATATTCTCTCTTCTTACTTCTCTGCCTCTCCTTTCTCCCTCCCTCATCCGTCCCTTCCTCCGCCTTCTCTCCTTGCCTCATTCGATCTTCTCTCTCCTCTCTTTTCCTTTCTTCTCTCTCTCACGCACTACTCTACATCCACACACCACACCATCACATCTTTCCACACTTCACACAAAAACACACACGATCCACACACTCATTAAGTACAATCACACACTACCACAACACACCACACATGCACACAGCACACACATGCACACATCAACACACACACCAGGCGACACCAGTAATGTTAATCTATACATTTAGGAAGAAGAGTGTTTTTCCTTATTATAAGATGTTGACATAGGTAATGACCTTTGACTCATCAATAAGGAAAGACACCAATTTAGTAGTGAGAATATTCTTGATAGGTGGAAAAGGTTGTTTATTCACACTGGGAATTCTGAACTATTTAAGATTTGAAGATGTAACGGCTGGGGAGCTTAACATGATTTTTTTTTAATTTCAATAATTAATTTATTATTTATATAATTTATTATTTTATTATTAATTATTTTTTTTTTTTTGGAAGATTTGTAGCATCCTCTCAGGGCTGATCCTTTGCATTATTTCCTGCTGTGCTCACATTTTCTTCAAAAACCAGTCTGTGGTGGTAAGCACATTGACAAGAATCTGAGTTTTGGGTATTTCTTCTCTAGCCTTGAGTAAATGCTACCAATAAGACTTTAATTTTACAATATCATTCTGAATAAAAGTCAGAGAAACAGAGAAAATGGAAAATATATGTTATAATCAGTACATATATAATACTTAAGAATTACTTATGCCAAGATTAGTAATACATAGAAAATACTTGAAAATCTGTAAGATCAAAATTTATAACATTATTTTACCCGTCCCCCCCCCCCCCAAATAAAAAAAAATCCATAAACCTGATGGACTCTTCCTTCATCTTAAGTATCTCACTCTCTCTTATGAGTTGTAATGCACATACTTTCACGTAAGAAGAGTGTATTTACAGTACATAGAATCCCATAAGTGACAGAATCAATTCAATATTCAATATTATTGATTTTTCTTGTGCAGTCTGGCTTATCATTATGTTATTACTATTATCATTATATTTATATTTGGGGGAGTTGTTGTATGTATGATTTTTTGTGGGCATCAGTAAAACACAGAGTTGATGCACTTAACTCTATGTATTCAGGAGAATCTACATAGCACTACAAGGGGTTGTGTGCATTACATGAGTATAAACATCGCAGTCAGATGGTGTACATAAAAGAAAATATACTCTTATATGGATAACTCAACAAAATGTAATTTTACCTTAGTCTAGGTAATATGAGGTATATCATAGATATATATGAATGTACTTATACTAATAAACATCTCTAATTACTCTAACAAGAGTACTAACTACTCTTTTATATATACATCATGCTCATCATCATCAAGGAGCTAACGCCGACGGGGGCGCACAGCCACATCCACCCTTTGTTTCCACCCACATGGGTCCCTCATGGCAAGCTGCCAGGCAGGGACTCAGCCCATCTCGAGCTCCTCACAATAGGTTTGCTTGATCTGCCCAAGCCATGAACAGAGACAACCTGGTGGGCAGGATCATCCTGAAGAAGGCGAGCCAGGTGGCCATATAGCCTGATTGTGCAGGTAACAGGTCCTGTGCCAGTCTCATGGCATAACCGTTGGTTGGACACATGAGACCCCATGATCCGGCACAAGGACCTATTACAAAAGGCATCAAGACGAGCCTCCAAGGCACAAGATAATGTCCAGGTTTCACTACCATATAGCAAAACTGGTATTATCAGGGCCTTGAAGATGCGTAGCTTGATCCATCTGCACAGGTATCGGCATCTCCAGATACTCTTGTCAAGAGAGCTCATAACCCCTGCTGCCAGGCCAATCTGTCTGCTGACTTCCTGGTCTGACAGCCCAGAGTTATGAACTACACTAGCAAGGTATGTAAAGCTCTCTATGACTTCAATGTCCTCACCACAAGCACGTACCGACTGAGCAGGTTCTCCTAGTAGGTCCCCAAAGTCCTGGATCTTGGTGTTGGTCCAAGAGACCTCTAGATCCAAGGGCTTCGCTTCATTACTAAATGCATCCAGAGCCACCACGAAGTTTTCCAAAGACTCAGATAGAATAGTAACATTATCAGCAAAGTCAAGGTCAGTAACCTTGATATTGCTCAGAGTTGCTCCACAATGACTTTGAACAGTAGCTCTGCCAAGTATACAGTTCATGCAAGTGTTGAAAAGTGTTGGTGCAAGGATACAGCCTTGCCTCACTCCTGAGCTAACAGGAAAGAAGCTCGACAGGCCCCCCCCCCACACACTTTATAGCACTTTCAGTACCAGTATACAGACTTACTATTAGTCCAATAATCGTTGTTGGAATTCCTCTCAGTCTCAGGATCTCCCAGAGTGATTCCTTATGCACTGTATCAAATGTCTTCTTGAGGTCAATGTAGGCTGTACGCAGCCCACCCCGGAACTCACGACGGCACTCTACAATGACTCGAAGTGCATGGATACAGTCCGTTGTAGACTTACAGGAGTGAATCCAGATTGCTATGGCCTATAATGCCTCAGTAGGTGGTCTCTGATGTGTCTCAGAAGGATGTGGTATACTGAACAGTGTGATGCCTTTACTACCGAGGGCTGGAGTCTCCTGGAAATGTCTATGGCTACTCCCTGGAGATGGTGACCGTCGCTGCGGCCCAACCAGTAATAGGTATAGCTACCTACACTGGTCATGCTGCTGCCAGGTCTTCTCACCACCTCATCTCTCAGCCTCCCCAGTTCCCTTGACAGCAATGGCAACTGATCATCCTGACTCAAAGAATGGATGTTCCAAGCCCCTACCCTGACTTCCTGCCTGAGGTTTAGCCTCGAGCAGTCACTCCGGATGGACTCCACCTTTGCCACCCCTGCCGACGTTGCTCCATATCCACCCATCATCCACCTGCAGGGTTCCTGCAAGCTTCACTCCAGGCTGTGTCTCAGCAGTCACCCTCCCAACAGGGCCCATAGCCTGCCTCTCCCCTGAGCCTTCCATTAACCCCAGGGGGATTAGGGACAGGAGTTGGTACAGGGCCAGGGCATGTCCACAAGCCAGCCTGCTATGACCCTGTACCTCTAGGGCCTCCTTCTGCTCCCAGATCCCCCACAGTTTAGCCTGGGTCCGTAAGATACCCAGTTTCCATGGGAGGCCATGAGGAGGCATGGCAGAAGTCTCGATGATGGAGAGGCTGTGCACTGGCATGGCAGTGGAGGCATATGCAGAACTACTCTGATGTTCATACAAGGCTAGCCAGCAGTGGCAGCTGCGAGCGAGAAGGCATGCAAGCACTTAACACTATCTAGCCTACCACACAATTGCTTATCGCCCTGTGTGTGAAACACCCACCCATTTCATACATACAGATATACTGTTATGATTAGTTATTAAGATGTTGAACATTCTCTTCAAAAAGTTATAAGGCATTAGTTATCATGTTATAAATGGTATTTCATGAACAATTAGAAGTATATAACATATTAAAAAATATATAATATAACAAATTATACTATACTGAGGAAGATGCAGAAGAGCATTAACAAATGGGGAAATTATCATGCGTACCTAACCATCAGATTTTTCGTAATTTTTACTTGAAAAAATAAATAGATAAATAAAATTCACATGCCTTTTATTTTCAACAGGTTATGAATGAAGAGGAGTGTTTGTTCCACCCGCAGCCACAGTTTGGGGTTGTTTGCAACACTGGGGAGTACATTGTGTTCCAGTGTCGAATGCTCAATATTGAAACAAATGTAAGTGCATTAGAATTGTGCTCTATTTCCTTGTGTAAAGCAGTACATTACAATTCTCTTTACATGTTTCATAAAAGTTGATGTAGATTATGTAGTTATGAGTTCCTTATTTGATTTATAGTAAAGCAGCTCTTTTTTGAGCCTTTTCTTGTGAACATTGAAAGGAGAGGTAGAATATATTTTCATTCCTGAGAATTATGATAGCTGTAAGTTGCATTAGAAATTCACTCTTTCAAATCATGTGTATAAGTTTTGGGTATGGAAAATTTCCATGATCTGAAAATGTGAGACAGTACTACACACATTTCTTAAATTTTGCATCAGGCCTTCCTCTGTGATTTCTATATAGAAGATGGAAATGAAGAGCTTCCAAA